TCGCTGTTGTCGCCCTGCTGATGACATCAGCGACGCGGTTTAATCGGGCGCGCTTTAGTCGAGTGCGGTTTTTTCGTGCCACGTACTTCCATATGTATTTTGCATTGCTCCAGACCAATTCTAAATGGCATGCTGCCATGCTTCTGCCATTCATTCAGAAGTTGAATCAATATACTTCTGGAGAAATATAAAATCAGAAAATTAATAAAACAATGGGATTGACCTATGGAGTATGATGAACTTTGACTCTCCTGATTTCTACCTGGTGCCTTAACCACTACACCAAACTAGCTGTTCAACTAGGCCTGGAGTGGGCAACTATGGCCCCGTTATAAATGTGGACTTCAACGCCCATGGACATCTCAAGAATTCTGGGAGTTGAAGTCCACAGTTTGTAAAGGAGCCATAATTACAATCCCTGAAGCTTTAAAGTGAAGGGCCAGTCTTTTGAGTCGTATAAAGAAATGTAGATATTTCCATATGGTCTTCAACAATACCCCCATCAAGAGTAGGCTGCTGGGGGTTCACGCGGGTTCTGGAGAACCTCTAGTAAGATTCTGTGCAGTTTGGAGAACCCCAAATCCCACTCCTGGCTGGCCTCGCCCACCCGTCCCTGTCCCTCCCAGGAGTCCCCACGTGGCCCATTTTAGATGCAGGTAAGTGCAGGGTACGTGCAAACGCTTGGGAAGGGTGAAAAATGGGCATTCTGGAAGTTCAGGAAGGCCAGAAATGGGGCTGTTTATGGCCTCCAGAGGGCATCCAGAGCCTGGGAAAGCCATATTTTTGCCTTCCTGGAGGGCTTGAGGAAAGTCTCTGGAGAATGGGGAGGGCAAAAACGCGCCCCACCATGGTGCAGGAGGCTGACTAGGCCACACCCACCATGGCCATGCCCACTCCGCAACTGGACAGAGAACTCCTTGCTAACATTTTTGAAGCCCACCCCCAAACCCCCATATATATAGGTTTACAGCACTTACTTAAGATAAAACTTTCATTTATCCAATGAAATGCTTATTGTGCATCTATCTCAAAACAAAACACAACTCCACTCAAACAATCTCTCTAAGAATCAGATGGAAATTGTAACATTTCTGAAAACTCATCAGATTTTGCTGGAAAAATTATGAAACAGGAGAAAAAAATATGTATTGGGTAAGGGAAGTATACCAGTAGGTCCATTAGCCAAGTGCAATTTATAGCTGATGGGGTGGCAAATCATTGTTTAAGTTTCCATACATTTCTACCTCTTTCTCCTAAAAATAGACTATCAATTGATGAGTGAGATGCATGCATTATACATGTATTCATAAAAGAGAATTGATCAGCTTTTGGGATGCTAGATTACTTGGAAATGAAGTCATTTTTCTTCGGTGCTTTGTCCATTAACACATCAGGAGTATTTTAAAGAAAGCTATCTTCCTTGAGAGTACATGTATTCTTGCAAATTACTCTTATTTTTCCATCCTTGGAAGCAAAGGTTACAGGAACCTTTTCAGTGTGAAATACTGGGATATTTTGGATGCAAAATATCCTAGATTCCATGCCTGGAAACCTCTGGGTTGTGTTGTGGTAATACAAGCTTAATCACTTTTGAAATCACTTAGTCTATGATTCTATTAGTGAAGAGTTTCTCAATCTTGGCAGCTTGAAGATGTCTGGGCTTCATGTCTGTTCTGTGTTGATTGAGGAAATCGGGGAGTTGAAGTCCATACATACTCAAGCTGCAAGGTTGAAAAACACTGGATTGACTGCTTGGACTGTTTAAATTTAGAACAAACAAACAAACATAATCTGTATGAACCCCTGTAAAACAAAACAAAATGCTGGCTGGGGAATTCTGGGAATTGAAGTTCACATATCTTAAGTTGTTAAGGTTGAGAAACAGTGCAGAAATCCTAGATCTGTGATGGCAACCCTATGGCTTGCGTCCCAGAAGTGGCACGCAACACCCTCTCTATTGGCATGCGACCCGTCACCACAGCTCAGCTCTGCCATGCATGCATTAGTGCCTCTCACCAGCCAACTGGTCTTCAGGTCTCTGCCATACATGTGTGGGGGAACATGTGGAAAGCGCACACATATGCATGGTAGGTGCACCTGGGGAGTGCGTGTGCATGCATGGGGAGGCAGGCACACATGGGAGGTTGGGTGTTTATGTGCAGGGGACATATAGGGGGTGTGCATGCATGCACAGGGTTGCATGAATGCATGGGGATCGGGCGCATGCAGGGGTTGCATGCACATGTGCTGGGTGCATGTGCGGGGGTCATGCGGGGGAGCGGGATGCATGTGGGGGTCATACTAGCATATGGGGTGGAGTGTATGCATGGGACCACATTTCATTTTAGAGGTTTGGGTGCATGCACACATTTTCATGCGCACTTGGGCACTTGATCTGGGAAAGGTTAGCCATCACTGTCCTAGATAGTTGTTTTGGCTGCCTTGGGTGAGGGAGTAAGATTAAGGAAGTTCCCTGGCTCTCCATTAAGAATGGTGATAGCAAAAAATAAATAAATAAGGGAACGCTCATCCCTAAGAGAATTTTTTAAAAAAAGCTTAGAAGAATTCTAAAACCAGACTTTGTTTTCCCTGATTTATAGATAGTAGCAGTATATATGACTGAGTAAATGGAATGGGTAATGAACATACAAATCATTGTTATGAACCAGGAGTGAGTTATAACCAACTATTCATCTGATGCAGATCTGCTTCTCTGGCTGCAAATCCAAGCAGAAAGTTATACTTGTGTTTGTGTGTGTGTGCGTGCGCACACATGCACACACACACACACACACACACAGTGCAATATCTCGAGCTGATTTTACTTGAGTACAGAATTACATATGGTGATTGATATGCACTTATATTTTATGAGCTATGTCTTCCTGTCCCTTGGCCATTATCTGTTGATATTAATCAGAAAAGGAGCTGAGCATTGACTGATGCTCCTATGCTGCAACCAGATAAAAGAGTTTGGTAGTTGGCGTGAAGATTCCTCAGAATCTCAGTATTTACTGACTTATTCTCGACTGTAATCTTTCTTCATGTAAAAAGCAACGTGCCTGAATGAGTAATTAAATGTGATGAATGATGAGTAACTAAACAAATCCCTATGTTATGGGATCTGTCTTCAATGAATAACAACTGAATTGATGACTTTCTGAAGCACATTTATACTTATATATTCCGTACTACGACAAGTCTAATAAATTGGCCTATTAACTTTTAAAATTTGCTATTGTCCACATGGTGACCCATGATGTGTGTGTGTGTGTGTGTGTGTGTGTGTGTGTGTGTGTGTGTGTGTGTGTGTATTCCAGCAAACCTCTGGAATGCCTCANGCAGCAGCAGCAGCGGCGGCAGCGGGGGAGGCGGCGGGGGCCTCCACCACCAGCACCACGGTGGCAACGGCGGCGGCGGCGGCTTGCATTTCGACGACCGCTTCTCGGACGAGCAGCTGGTGACCATGTCGGTGCGAGAACTCAACCGGCAGCTGCGGGGCGTCAGCAAGGAAGAGGTGATCCGGCTGAAACAGAAACGACGGACCCTGAAAAACCGGGGCTACGCGCAGTCCTGCCGCTTCAAGCGGGTCCAGCAACGGCACGTCTTGGAATCGGAGAAGAACCAGTTGCTCCAACAAGTGGAACATCTGAAGCAGGAAATCTCCAGGCTGGTCCGGGAGAGGGACGCCTACAAGGAAAAATACGAGAAATTGGTCAGCAGCGGGTTCCGGGAAAACGGATCCAGCAGCGACAATCCCTCTTCTCCAGAATTTTTCATGTGAGTTGTGGTCTTCTCTCCCACCCACCCCACCCACCTATCCAACAACCCATAGACCCGGCCCGCGAACCCCCTTCGCTCCGACAGCCTCTCGCCCACTCGTCAGAGCACACACGCAGACACACACGAGCGAGCGAACACGTGCGTAAAAGTTCCTAAGGCTGGAGGAAGGAGGGGGGGAGGTCAGCCAGTTGGTGTCCCCCCTCCCTGTTAATTATTGTTAACTCGGGCCATCCAAATACTGCCTGCTATGTACATACCATCATTATCATCCTATTCTGTTTAAAAGAATAGTGGCAACTTTGGGTGGTACTTTTTAAAGTGGACTGACTCAGATCATGGTCAACCTTACAAGGTCCTGACCTTTCTCTCCCTTTCCAGCCGCGTTTGTGTGTGTGTCTGTGTGTCTGCAATCCAACTTCCATCAACTCATCTGAAGTTTGCTCAGTTTTTTTTTTTAATCTGTTCTATCCAAAATACAAAACACCCATTTTGCACCCCGAATTCTTCCTGTGGGGTATGAACTTCAGAAATAGCTAGGTGCATATTGATATGGCTGTATTCATATACCCGTGAATGCAGGCATATTTCAAGGACCTTTTACTGAACTATTTAAAGAAAGTGTTAGACTTCAGATGGCCAAATTTTCATCTGTAGTTGAACTAAACCTAGTTCATTCACTAAATCTACCTGCCCAAATGGAGCCTTGATCAACTTCTCATGTGTTCATGATGTGATCTTTGGCCTTAAGCTGCCAGTGAACTGAGTCTGCTTTTAGTAACCCATCCTCATCTCATGCATTATTACGCTTACTAGTTTGTCTTGCATCAATTAACTGTATAAATATTTCAAAAGACTATGGGGGAGAGAGGAAAAAAGACATTATATTGATAAATGCCCTGCATGCTGGACATGTACGGATTTTTTTTCCCTTTTGCTTGGATATGGACTTTGGAGATATATATAATGGCATGTCATTCATTCTTTTAAGTTGTATTTCTTCACCACTTTTTTGAACTGAAAGCAAAAAAAGTGCAACTTTTTTTGAGTCTTCCTTACCCATTCAAGTTTGCATCTTGGAAACTGCTTTGAGTGGCCCCATCTCTCAAACTTCAGACTTCTTTTTAATGAATTGCAAAAAAAAACATCTCTTCTCGCTCTCTCATATGTAAAACAAAAACAGAAGAGTGGATTGTGATTACAGTATTACAGGAAAACAAGAACTTTGGAAAGAAGTTTTAAAACTTATGCTTAAAAAAATTGCTGCAATTTGTTGGATTTTACATGATATTGTTGCTTAAAGCAGTCTAAACTTTATTTTGGAATGATCTACCCTCTTTCCTCCCCCACCCTTTTTTTTGTTCCTTTTTGCATTTGGTCATTGTCAAACGTGCAATGCTATGGGATCCTGGTATATATAATTTAATTCAAGCTTTTATTGTCTGTTAGTTCAGTTCAAATGTACGCAACAGATAAAGGAATGTTATAGATAATTTGAAAAAAGTTAGGTCTGTTTAGAAGTAGGTCTCTCTTTTTTTAAATGGTGCACTAAATTGTTCACTGTTGTGATGTTAAAAGGAGTAGAATATAAAGTGGGACTTTTTTTAAAAAAGTAGCTTATGCAGCATGTGATTGCAACTTAACTATAAGTTGGGTATGTGTAGATCTTGCTATGCCACCAACTGTATTTGGAAACCAAAGTATTAAAAGGGGAGTATCCCTGTTTATATGAATAGGGTTATTTTGTGTTCAAAATGTAACATTGGGGTTTTTTGGGGGGTGGATTTAAATATTAGGGACTGAATTGCACTAAGATATAACCTGAAGCAAAATATAAACCATTGCAAACTTGTCTAGGATGCTAATACCATTTACAAAGATGGCATTACTGCTCAATTTTTTAAATAATGCAGATTTTTTTACAGTTGTATTGTGGTGCAGAACTGGATTTTCTGTAACTTCACAAATTCACAAAGTTTTAAAGGCATTAATCAGCAAATTTTATTGTCAGGGACTGATACTCCTGTCTTTTAAAAAAATGGAAAGTAAATACCACAATAAATATAAAAAAATCTTGTCAGTTATTTTTCCTCTTGACATATTTTGCTGTGCAAAATTGTTTTATATCTTAAGTTACCAACTAATCACGTGTGATGTTCCTTATGTGTTTTCCTTTCATTTTTCAACTCTATGGTTATATCAAAAAGGAGGAATATTCTACTATAATAAACTGCATTTTTGATTCTGTACTGAGTTTCATTAGTTTATAGCTTTGAAGTATCTATTTAAACATAGTATCTGGGGGTGGTGGACAGATGTTTAGATAAATTAATCTGAGCAGATAATTTAAATATGTGTGTGAGAGAGCTGAGAATTGACAAGGTAAAATATAACCGATCTAAAACAAAAATACCATTTCATTTTCTCCTAGGCAGATGAAAAGGAAAGACTCTTTAACTTATAACAAGTTTTATAATTATTTTAAAGCGATCATATGAATTTCTTGCTAGTTATTATTGCAATAATAATAACAACAACAATTAAAAAGAGCCATTCAAACAAAACAAGCCCCCCTCACTCCCCCAAAATAGTTCAGCTGCTTTTGGGGGGGAAATAAAGAACTTTGCAGCCAGGGACATTATGTCAAATATGTGGGCATATTGTAAGAGTTACTACTATAATTGATTTCTTTTAGATTGAAGCTACAGGGACAGATGATTAAAGCTGAAACTAGTATTCAAAGAAGTCATGAAACAAATTTGGTGACTCTCAAATTTGTGAAGAGAGAATCACAATTTCCCTATTGTGCATAATTACACACGCAAACACATACACATACACATACACAAGCCCCCTTTGAAACAGGTTGCTATTCTTTCCTCTTCCCTAAAATCTCTAACTTGCAGCAAGGTAAGGCCTGTGAAGGTGGCTATTTAAAAGTCAAAAATTCCATATAGGCTGACCTTTCTTAATTTTAGCTTTAGTTGTTTCAGTTCCATTTTTTAAAACAAAATAATAATAATTTTACAAAAGTATTCTCATTTATGTATGGGACATTCTGCTAGCCAGATTTTGTCCCATCTATTTTTTTTTCTCAGAGGAAGATTTTTAAAAAATAAAATAAAGTAGCACATGTATATAATATTTTTTTTAAAAAAATACAAAATCTTGTTTTCAAGGAGAAGATTGGAACTCTGTCTCTTTCCTTTGTTTTTGTAATTTTGTTTTAATCTATGAAATGGTTAAAGCAGCAACATTCCTATAACTTAACTATAATACCATTTTATGCAGGGAGAGAAGTAAATTCCCTATCTAGATCCCTTCCAAAGAAAGCAGGACAGGGGAAGAAGAGAAAGAGGAGAGAAAGAAAGAGAGAAACAAATTTCTTCTAAGAGTATAGTTTTAGGTCTTTAGCATCCTACTAGTGAAAAGCAGGTAGGTTTAAAAAAACAGACCTTGTTTTAAATTTACAGCTCAATTTCTAGAGATTCCAAGATGCTGTTCTTAAGGCTGTCAAAGCCGCAAGGTCAAAGGTCATTAGGCTTTGAAACAAAGCAACACCCCGTGTCTTGTACAAAAGTAGAGGGGGGGCAAATGCATCTCATTTCTCATTATTTTTTGCTTTGGCTTTAGCTCTTGCTTGCACAGGAAACTTAGCTGCAGTCAATCCAGCTGAAAAATAAATATTAATCCAGTAGCTAGTCCTCTTTTAGCTCTACTCCACGCTGATGAGATTGGAAGCAAGAAAGGGGTCCGTGCATCTACAGAGGACTATATTCTTCCTGCTTGGTAATAGTTATGTCCTTTAGAACTTGACCTTCCAATAATTCAGGCATAGCTCCCTTTCAGCCTTCTCCAGACAGGTTAATATGTAATCAATGGGTAAACTGCCTGCCATTGGCCTATCAGAAAATGATTGTCTCCTATAAAGATAGTAGGGTTTTCTCCCTCCCTGTATCTCCCTTCCTCCTTCATAAGTTTACACTTTTCCAAAATTGCACTGGCTTTGCTTAGTGGTTGCTGCTTGCGCTGGGTTTTTCTGTTTCTTCCACCACCACCCTCCCCGCCCCAGGATGAGCAAGCAGAGAAATGAACCTCTGCTCTGCATTAAGCTCAGCCTTTGCAAAGATTCACTTTGCATAAAGACATAGTAAATATGCAAAGGTTTCCTCTCCCCTTCCAGAAAGCGTGAGTCTAGTATCGTGCAAAGAAAGAAAGAGCCAAGTGTGTCTGCAGAGAAACGGTGTCCAGCTTTGGTTTTGGCTAAGGTACGAAGCTGCTTCTGAATATCAAGCTTGCCTTCGGGGCGCATAGTCTGATTTTTTTTAGCCGCCCGGGCTCCCAAAATGACAAAAAGAAATCCAGCAAGCAAAATAGAAAGTGTGCTTGTCATTTGGCCTTGAAGGACAACCTTGAACGCAGGGCAAAGTTTTCAAGGAGGGAGAAAAGAAGAATCTGGCTCAGTTCCTTCCTCTCTTGCAAGGAGAAGAGAGAGAAGGAACTTTCCTTTTCTCTCTCTCCCCCCTCTAAAGACAGATTTGTAATGGTTCCTATTTCTAAAACAGGCGAGGTTTTAGATTCTGCTGATTCTGTGGCACCAGGGGTTAGATTTGGGCTGGCAGGATAAGGCCGCTGGCGCAAAATTGTAACCCAAAACTCTGCAGGTGCCTCAAGAAGGCGAGACGGGAAGGGGGAGGGATTCTGATGGGGAAGGTCATGAAAATCTGCCCTAGCCCTTCCCCAGTTCGTGCTGCTTTGCCAGGAATCCAGAGGCTGAAAAACCAACTCGGTTTTGTGAGTAGAGAATGCCGTGGGGCTTTTGATGCTGTTTTGTTACTAGTACCATCCTCTCCTTACATGGAACAGGAACTCCCGACCCATTTTTCTCCTCTAGTGCCTTGCTCTGCTCCTTGGCCAGAAGGCCTCATTCCAGCCTGATCCTTTGCAAGTTTGTTCAGCAGCCCTCTGCTCCAAGTTCCAGGCCCTAGAAACAAAACTCAGAAATGCAAATTGCCACCTCACCGAATTAATCTCCCTGCTTTGCCCTTATCAAAGGCTTTTTGCTAACCACATCCTGCACCATGCATGTTTTTTATGACTTGGGTGTGCACGCATGCGCGCGCGCGCACACACACACAGAGGCATTTGCATCTTTCCTGGCCTCACAACTGAACTGAAGGATGATCCATCCCATCCTTGACTGAGTAGGAAAAAGGGTTGGCATTAAATTTACCATCCCAGATTCCTGCCTCCTTTGCTCCTCTTCCCTATCTCGGCAGTTGAGACTCTTCCAAGACACATGCTTCACTTGAGGCTGCTTTGCTGCTTCTAGGAAGTGCTACCGGAAAACTGGTTGAACTAAGGATGAGTTCAGCCTGTCTCCATCATCAGCAGAGGATGAGAAAAGGCCACACAATCCAGGAGAGAAAAGATGTTGCCAGGGTGTGTAGAGGGTTAGCGCCAGTGGGGAAAGAAAAGCACAGCATCCAAATTTGTGTATGGTCCTGTATTATAATAAATATGTATAGTGTATATGTGTGTGTATGTAATATGTATGTATGTATATACACACATACGTATACACAAACATAAGTCACACAGCACTGTGTATCAAATGCTGGTTTTCATAAGGGAGAGAAGTGAAAGAGAGGAAGAGGAGGAGGTGCGTTCAGACCTTCCCTTAGTTCCCTTCCAGAATGTTCTCCTTTCTTATTAACTTTTATTTTTATAACTGAAGCTGTGTTACAAAATCTGCATCTTGTCTCTATTTATTTATTTTTTTAAAAGAACTTAAGTATTCATCCTCTTTTTCCAGCTTTCTTTACTTGTCTCCAACCCTTTGTGGATTCATTTATTACTCTGGGACAGACTTCCAATTCCATCTCCTTCCAATTTACCTTTTCTTCTCAGTTTCTTTAAGGCCCCTTCACCAGCTTGGGACTTCTGCCCCCAGGCCCCCTTCCCCTTTGCCTTGCTTCTTCGTTTTGCATACCCCAGTGTTAGTCACAGTGTGCAAGAACTGGAGACTTTGCTTGTCTTCCAATTCCCCTTTTATCAGATCTAGCCCACTGGCCACATTCTCTGGTTGCAGCCAATAAAGGCACCCAGATAGGATTATGCAGAGCAAAAGTGTGGCATTGGCTCACACACCCATGTAAAAGCATGTTCTTGTAGGAAAGGAAAGAAGGCAAAAGGAAACCTTCATATTTCTCAGTATGCCCTGGGGACAGTTGGAAAGTTGTGTGAGCCTTGCTCAAAGGGTTGGCTTTAATTTGAAAAGGCCATGCTCATTTTCACACATTTTTCCCAACTAAGGGGAATTTTTTTTTCCAAAGTCCACCTTTCTCCCCAAAGCAGAACGGTCTTTGAGAGAATCGCCACAGGGAGGGGACAGTTGAACCATCTGGCCTCATCCCTGGTGTGCAAAGAACACGCGTGTGAGCATCTTCTTCCTCCCAACAAGGAGAAAATAGCTCGGTTAGATCACACCACCGCCAAGAAAGCAGGATTTACACGAGGAGCTGAACGTTGTCCTCCCGCTTCGGGGCACAGACCCTGCTTAACCCTTATGGCTGGGCTCCCCTCCCCCGGTGTGGTCAACTCCGAAAGGCGATGTTAAGCAAATCTCTTTAACTCATCGCCTTCGTAGTGTTAAGTGTTGCGCGTGCGACGATTCACACCGCTTGGCGCAAGCGGTCTGGGGCGCCGCGGGCTTAAAGGGTGAGCTTCATTTTCCTTCTCCTGTTTAGGATCGGAGGATCTCGCTTCCCTTAATCACACGGACATCCATCGCAGAGGGACACGTAGCCGCGCATCCTCACCAAAGCCTTAAGCAAAGTGATTAGGAGGCGTGTGAATTGTATAGGAGAAAATCGAAGCTACGATCCACGGGGCGTTGATGCCTTTCCGCGTGAAGAAAAGGAGCTGGAGAGGGGGGGGGGATTCTTCTATTTATTTATTTATTTACATCCCTACCCCATTTTTCTTTAGAAATTCAGGTAGTTCTCCCTTCGGCAGGTTCTTCCCAAACCAACCCTGTGGGGTAGGGTAAGTTGGACAATAGGATTGCTCCACAGTCACCCAAGAAGCTTGGATGGCCGAAGGTGGAGCTGAATCTAGGTTTCCCTGGACATTGTCCGACACAAGAATCCTTGCACTTTGAATCAAGGGCTGCGGATGGTCTTTTGCTCACATAATACTTTGAACCCCAAACAAGCCACGCGCATTTTAGTCCATCCGGTTGTACAGA